TTTTTTCACAATCTTCCATTTTACATAAATCTTTGATTAATTTGTCAATCTGAGATAATCCTAATTATGGAAATTGTTAAACATTAAAGTTAAGATAAGGAAGGAACAAATTAAGACTATCAAGGGCGACTTTAATCTCTTAAACATTCTTTTCAACGTTTTTTATCCTAAGGATTCCTTTCTAAATCCATTCAAACAAAAGTTGTATGGATGTTAACATTTCAAGATGTTCGCTATGGCGAGGCAAACAAAAATTACAATACGGTCTTTAATTTGGGCATGTACTATCTATACAAAACCCGATTATTTATTGATTTCGATGATCTGCTTAAGTACATCTAATTTACATTTCCTATTTCTATTAAAATTGATATATAAAAATAAACGAAGTGTTTTTGATCGTAATAAATTATATAATTAATTTACGCATTGTAGACTTAAAATACGTAATTTAGATTAACAGTCTCCAAAATGTATATGAAAAAAAGAATAAATATACTAGAAAATTCATAAGTTTCAAAAATTTAAAGTCTTAAAAATTCTTTAAGCTTTTAACTATTTCTAAATTTTTTTTATTAATTTTATTTCTTAATTAATATGCTCAAAAATATTAGCCAATAATTAAGACTATTAGTTTATTCTATTATTTTGATTATTTATATGGGTTCCGACTATTTCACTTATTTTTAGGTTTATTAAGTTAAGCTTTTAGACCTTGATCAGTTTAGATCATTATGAAATGATAGGATGGGGACGTGAAAAACATCATTTTAATCAGAAAAATTAAAAAGAAAATTTATATCTATTCCCATATCAACACTAATATAATTATTAATATGTTTTGATAATTTAAAATATGGCCTAATATTATTTTTTAATTTAATCTTATAGTATAATCAGCAAAGATATGTTGATTGTTATGTATTTTAGATTTCTCTCCACTTAGATTTTTTACTTCACTCCCCATTATTTAACATTATAATGCAAATTAATCCTTCCAGACCTGCATTTGCTACATCTTAACAAAATAAAGTTGCTTATGAATCTTTTATTGAAAACGAGTGGGCCCCTAGAATACCTAGAGGAACTATTGAAAAAAACCACATCAATTAGGAGACCAACATAGGTCAAATACAAGATACTTGAAGCACCATTCATTATTGACCCTAAGTTATTAAACAGAAAGGGAAGGTAGGCTTTTTTAATAATTTTGTAAATATTCTGAAAGTAACAGAATGTGCAATCAAATTTCGCCTGATCCATAATTTTAATAAAATCAAAACTATATTATAGGATACACTAGCATTCCATATAGTTTTATATTCTTTAACTGAATTCCTAGAAACTTACAGAGAATATCGATAAGCCAGTTAGTCCTGAATATACATCTCATGTCATGATAAATTAAGCCTTTGTCCTACATCACATTTGGCTAAACAAGCCACGACTAGAATTATTTTATAGACTATACTAAGGGAACGATTAAGACTCCAAAG